AAACCCTTCCAAAAATAAAAGAGTAGGGAACACTTCCCAACACTTCCCAATTCTATAAGACCAGTATTACCCTGATATCAAAACTAGACAAAGATATCAAAGAAAATAAAACTATAAGTAAAGTGAAAGACTTTATAAATATTTATATAAACATTAAACTTTGACTAATAAAATATAATTATAACCAATATCTCTTGTGAATATATACATAAAATCTTCAACAAAATACTAGCAAACTGAATTCAGTATCTTATAAAATATATTATATACCAAGTGCAGGTGGAATTTATCCTGGGAACGCAGAGTTGATTCAATATATGAAAATCAATCAGTGTAATACACTATATTGATTGGAAAAAGGACACACTATTCAGTGATGATAGCTGCTATTATTAGTCCTTTCCAATTCTCCATCCACTGCCTAGCCATACATTTAAATATAATAACTGCTTTAGCTGCTTTAAGTATGTGATTTAAAACAACAATCTCTCTTCTAGGCTTCAGAGTACTTCAAGATGGCAGAACATATTTGGCTTCTCCATTCTCTACTGTCCTGAGGGTAGTATGTGTGAAGAAATTTTGAAGAAATCTGTTTGCCTAGGTAGACTTCTTTCATTGAATGGCCAGTGGAAATCCCAAACTCCTAAAAAAAAAAAGTCAATGGGAAGGCATAAAAATAAATCTTTTTATATTTCTGCACTGAAAGTGTTGGCACTAGAATTTTGCCTCTGTTTGGCTTCCAAGTCTAGATATTACTTCCCCTGAAAATTTGGCAAGTCCCAAGATTCCTGTAAGACAGAGTGTGTCCTGATGTGTTTATAGTACAGTAGAGAGACTGACTCAGTATCTCAACCTCCTCTGGTGACCTCAGGCAGTGTGGAAATTTTCTCAGGGGTATGCCACCTGGATGGAACCCCTTGGGGTTGTCTACACAGCATTTAGAGTCCTTCATGTCCCAGTTCATGATACCCAAGGGCTTGTTTGAGGAATGCTTTATCACATAAATGTCCAGACCAGGAATGTAGGCTGTTAATATATTAGTTTAAAGTGCAGGAAAAAGAACCAATGAGGTGGAGATGTGTTCATGGATGAGTTCTCCTAAATATCTGCTTCTAGGCAAAATCTAAAAAAAAAAAAAAAAAAAAAAAGAAAGAAAGAAAGAAAAAAAAAAAAAGAAAGAAAACAAACCCAGAGATAATTAACTCCTGGGAGGGCAAAGGTCTAGATAGAAAGACAGATCCTTTGACGTTCTCAGCATCCTCTCTAAACACTCAGATTCACTAAGCTGTTTTCTTGTTTCAAGAGCAGATTGAGAGGCTTATTAAGTAATAGAAACATTTATATCTCTTGTTCTGACACCATAGAGCAGGTGTTGAAGATCAGAAGATTCCCATTAATACCTAAGGATTTGGGGTTTCAAATTCAACATAGCATTCATTTGTTTTCCCTTTAACTTAAATTTCCAAAGCATTGGAACTTTAAAAATGCTTGCTGAATCCATTTGAATAAATTTGCATCATCTTGACATATCTGCTTCCTATGGAATTGTCCAGTCAATGGGGACTTAAGCAATACACATGATATGACATTACATGTAATGGTTATTTCTTGTTCCTGAATACACTGGGCATACTCCTTAACTACAGAGGCAACCACGGTGAGTGAACTAGAATTGCTGATTTATAAACCAGTTTCTACATTTCCATTTTCTCCCAAGGGGTTTATAATTTAAATCATTAAAGCTTTACTTTCTGATATTTTGTGGCAGATTACCTTTAGATGTTTTAGGATATTTTGCAGAAACATTTGTTCTCCTCACTGTATATGGATTTAGCTATAGTTTATGAAGAAGAGGTTTACAATTTATGCATTCCTAAGTCTGTTTTTAGGTCAGCATGGGATTGAAGACAAAGCATTTGGACTCTATATTTTGAAAGAAATCATCAGCTCACAAATTTAGATCCAAAAGGAGAATATAGTAAAATAAAGCATTTGCGATGAAACAAAGTACCCTTTGCTGTGGTTGGGAACATATATTAAACTCTAATCTCATGGGCATTTTAAATTCTGATTATATTCAAGCTTTTCTAGATCTTGTTCTAACCAGGCAAGACTTTATTTGTGCTGCAATGCATGTGGTCCTAGCAATATGATCCTTTTTCTTAGAGAATCAAAACAGGAATTGTTGAAGATAAGATATAAATGTTAATTCCCTTTGTCACCGTATGGCGATTTTCCCCTTGTATACTCTCACCTTAATGTAGCTTAAGGAAAGTAAGATATAGTTGTGGGGGGAAAAATCTCTGTGCTGGGCATTAGAAGACTTGGATTCTTATCTACTACTAATTCATTAATTGTGCTTCCTCTCTGGGCTTCAGTTTCCTCATCTTTAAAGAGCATATGAGTTGATATAATTCAGGGTGCTGGAAGAATTGTAGTGTACAAAAATTCTGGGTCTGTCAAATAGACCCTTGAATTCATTAAATCTGACTTTACACTTCATAGGTTCGCAAAATAACTGCCACGAATTACATGCGGTCCTAGGTGGTAGCTTTGTCCAAACTCTGACATTGCTGATTCCCAGAAGTAAATTGGATCTGTACTGGAGAAGTATTATAAAGAGCTAGAGACAGACTTCCTGATTTTGAATACAAGCTCCTCTATTGTTTATTTTTTTTTGTCATGACTTGGGCAAGCCATTTACCTTCTTCTAACCACATTTTCCTTTCCTTTAAAATATAGATAATAGTGTACCAACCTAGTAGGATTGTTGCGAAGATGTAAATGAAATAATGCATATAAAGTACTTAGTATGGTGCCTAGAACATAGCAAAACTCAACAAAAGTTAATGATAATTATAGGAACTACATAGTATAAAAATTAATCCCTGCATTCTATTAAGACGGAGAAAAAGCAGATTTATAGCAACAGTTTGTATTTCATAATGTTTGAGTGTATGGAATTTAAATAAGTTACAAAGGTATCTCTGCTTGGGAAGAAGTTTGTCTGCTTAAGTTCTTGCCTCTCAGTTGCAGTCTGAGTGCCCTTTTATGGAAGATCAGAATTATTTTGTGAGATTAACACTTTACTCCATTTCTCATTTCTCCAAAAATATGGGTATTAGAAGATTTGAGTATTAATAAGCATGAACCAGATCTAGAACAGAGAAAGAAAATGATCCTGTTTTTGAGCTTGTCAATTAACAGAGAATATCAAAGACATCTATAAGAGAACTCTTTTTAAAATCTATTCTAATTACTTCAAGGTTTGCAAGAAATTCAAGTAATAAGTGACATAATGAGGACGAGTGAGTCAAGTTTGGGGTTTTCTGTCTGATTTTGATCACGAAATCCACCCTTTGGTACAGATCTTCAGGAAATTATAAAAACATATTATTTGGTTGTTGGTTCTCCCAAGGGCCATCTCCTCTAGAGAAGAGTTGGCAATTAGAAGTGCACTCAACTTCCTTCTCAAGTGCTCTTGTTGTTGGAAGGATTCTCTGATGCGTTAGGCTATCCAGAAGGGAGAGCATTATCCTGGAGCTTGGAGCTCTAAAGCTAGTCTCTCAATGAAGCCTTTGTGGGATCATCTGGAGGAGGTTTCCTTTCCATGTGCCTCATTACATACCTTGTCCACATGTAACAGGGATAATTCACTTTATCTTTCACTATCTTTTTTTTTTTAAAAGAATACATCAAGATAAAGAGAATTAAAAAAAAGATAAAGAGAATAATGGAATCTGAAGTCTAGGCAAAAGTGAAAATTAGTAATGACAAAACTTAGTGTTATATACTATCTTAAAGTTTAATTGAGTAATATGTGTATTTCTCACTAAGTAAATGGAAAGAGATTTTGCATTGAAATGATCTGGTTGATTATCAGACATGACTTATTGATTATCAATATCAATGGTATAAGTTAAGATCAGATGTCAATAATCTTGGTTGACAGACAAAAGATGGGGTTTATCATGATTAATAAATGATCCATGGGGTAGTCAGGGCAGACTCACCTTCTACTCTGATCTTCTCAAAGCAGTTGGTGCCCAGTCAGGCCCTCATGCTGTGTCCATTTGGTGAACTGATAACAACTTCATGGTACGTTAGAGCAGCTACTTCAATTACATTCAGATACTATTTCTTGGAGTCCCATGATGTGCCAATGTACAATTTCATATGTTTGTTTTCCCATATATATGCCAATCAATTAAAAAATTCAGTTTCAACTTTAGGACTCTAAGACAAAACATGGAAATTGTTTTTATTTTCCAATCATAAAATTAGTAATATAAGGTATAGAGATTTGGAAAATACTAAAAACCATTAGGAAATAAAATATCAACCATAATCTCACATTTAGGTGTAAATGTCCTCAGTGTATTAAATTATTTCCTCACCAAATTTTCTATATATATGTTTTAGCATAGATTAAAAAAACCTATATAAAATTTTATAAGTGAAATATTTGAATTTGAATATTATTTAAAAATGTATAAAACCTATAATCTTTAAATACTGAGTAAGTATCATTCACTAACTTTTAATCTATATTTACCTGATTATAATTCATGTAAACAGATTATTTTGTGTTTTTTAAAGTTCATGTACATAAATTTTTAAGTCTTGTTAGTCTCCAAATTACTTCTTTTTTTTTCCCAAATTACTTCTAATGACAAAATTATTCCATTATATTGCTGTGTCAGTGAAGTTTTGCAGACTACCATAGCCAAGGAAATTGAATTCTTTCTTCTGGTTATCCTATGTCTCATAGAAATAGTTTTGAGGGCAGAATAATAAATGACTAAGTCAACTAATGGAAGCTTTAAGTTACCTATTCTCAGAGAGTTTTGGGAAAGAAGGAATCATCCGTGAGATAACAGAGTACTCTTAAAAAGCAGAGTTTTAATGCATTTCATTTTTTTGGGTTCTTTTTTCCCCTTTCTTCCCTCTTTTTCTTTTCTCTCTCTCTCTCTTTTTTAAAGGTAAAACATTCATTCCTGGAGTTTTTATCATCCACACCACATAGATGGAGGAGGAAAGGAATGTGACTGAATTCATTTTAATAGGTCTTACACAGAACCCCCAAATGCAAAAAGCAGTGTTTGCAGTGTTTCTGGTTTTGTACATGGTAACCCTCTCAGGCAACCTGCTCATCGTGGTTACCATTACCACCAGCCAGGCTCTGGACTCCCCCATGTACTTCTTCCTGACCCACCTTTCCTTGATAGACACAATTTATTCTTCTTCTTCAGCGCCTAAGCTGATTGTGGACTCCCTTCACGAGAAGAAAATTATCTCCTTTAATGGGTGTATGGCTCAAGTCTATGCAGAACACATTTTTGGTGCTACTGAGATCATCCTGCTGATGATAATGGCCTATGACCGCTACGTGGCCATCTGCCGACCTCTGCACTATACAACCATCATGAGCCACAGGCTGTGCGTTCTCCTGATGGGAGTGGCCTGGACTGGAGGATTTCTCCATGCAACCATTCAGATCCTCTTTACAGTCTGGCTGCCCTTCTGTGGCCCCAATGTCATAGATCACTTCATGTGTGACTTGTACCCTCTGTTGAAACTTGTCTGCATGGACACTCATACACTTGGTCTCTTTGTTGCAGCCAACAGTGGGCTCATCTGCCTGTTAAACTTCCTCCTCTTGTTGGTCTCCTATGTCGTCATCCTGCACTCCCTAAAGAGCTACAGCGTGGAGGCGAGGCGCAAAGCCCTCTCCACCTGTGTCTCCCACATCACAGTAGTGGTCTTATCCTTTGTGCCCTGCATATTTGTGTATCTGCGCCCAGTGACCATTCTGTCCGTTGATAAAGCTGTTGCTGTCTTTTATACTCAGGTGGCCCCTATGTTAAATCCTTTAATCTATACCCTCAGAAATGCTGAGGTAAAAAACGCTATAAGGAAACTCTGGAGGAAGAGAGTGACTTCAGATAGTGATTAAACAGAATCACTGAGCATTACAGACAAAAGTAACGGAGGTAAACTTGTCCAAGCCTCTTGATCTATAGGTGAAGATGAATTCTAACAAGAGAATGAATAATACTTGCAGGTAGCCACTTAAGCACAGATCTAAATCTTGGACTGGAATCCAGACTTACTGTCTCCCATCCCACAATCTTGTCATCAAATATAAAAACTTCTTAAAACAAACTCATAGTTATTGGGGGAAAGGGATAAATTGAGAGTTTGAGAATTGCAGATGCTAACTACTATATATAATATAGATATACAAGTTTCTACTGTGTAGCAGAGGGAAATACTTTCAATATCTTATAGTACCCTGCAATGAAAAAAGAATATGAAAAGGAATATATGTATGTTTATGGATGACTGACATATTATGCTGTACACAGAAATTGACACAACATTGTAAACTGACTATACTTCAATAAAAAGAAAAAATTAAAACTTCTTAATAAATAAATATCTATTACCTGGTAATATGAAATCAGAAGCTAAAAAGTATGAATCTAGAATATTGGATTGGTATTAACATTGTCTTATGTAACATTGATATGTTAGTTACTACTGGTTATTGAAAATAACAAGTTTAATTTTTTTTTTTACTTTGAACTCTGTTTCAATATAAATTCTTTTGTGAATCTTCTTGTTCATTAAATCTTGGTTGTACAATGAAAAGAGATGCTATTTATGAAATGCCTATAAGACTGGCATTGCATTAGGTATTTTCCATATTGTATAGATCGGGATCCAGCCAGGAGACAGACCACAGAATAATTTGAACAGAAAAACTTCACATAAGATTATTAATAATATTGGGAAATTAACTATAAAAAGGGGTCAAGGGCACTCTAAAGGTGGCCCTGGGACAGAGTGATGAGCATTCTTGGGAGGAGCACATTTAGATGTGGGCATCCTCCCCGAGGCTGGAATTCCAATCTTTTGGATAGGGTGTGGTTGTGTGCATTGAAGGGTGAAGAAGTTTACTGGGTTGCCTTGAGCCAGAGCTGGTTCATGGTGGCTAGACAGAGGCTGGTAGGCATTAAAGGTCTCTGGGACTGGCAAGATGGGAGTCTCCCACTGGAGTGCTGGTTGGCTCAGGCTCATGAAAAGGAATGCGGCCCTGAAAAACCCCTCTTGGGTGCCAGTGGAGCAAGGCTGGCAGAAAACACCCCTCTATGGTGCAGATAGACCTGTGAAATTCACTGGAATCTTCCTGCAAAGGTGCCACTGAACCTCAATGGGAAACTGTCTATGGAGGTGTCAGTGAAACTCAGTGGCAGTAAACACTAGTAGATGTCTCCCTTCTCCACCCTCCACAGCATACACAATGTTGGAAGCTACACAGGCAGAGCAAGACAAAAAGATAAGCACATTCAAAGCTGAAAGAGGTGCCTCTTTTCAATGCCCCCTACTGACAAAGTCTAACATCGTTAGGCAAAGCACAGGGGAGGAATGCTTACAGGGTCCATTTTCATTAATATGGAGCAGGCAATAAAGGGTTTATTTGCACCTGAGAGACAATTAATTGATAACTGGCATACAGCTTTTATCCTTAATTCTTACAACCCATTTTATAGTGTACTGAGGCTCAGACAGATGGCTTGATTTGACGAAATCTCAAGTTCGTGTTAGAAATGCACTATAAATGAGAAATGACTCCATGTCAGATATAATTCACAGCTTTAAGTAAGAATTCCCTTTCTTTGTTGGTAGTAATTAGCTGCAATTTTTTTTTATTGTAAAGTCTGGAAATAAGTAAAAGTCTAATTTATTGAATTATTCTGTACAACTAATTTGCCATAATTTCATATAACTTCACTGTTAGATATGTTCTGTTATCTCATCAATCCTTTCACTGGAGATGCATAAACAGAGATAAACAATCACCTGTAGGTGGTATTGTACAACAGATTTAAACATCCTTGTTATTTAAACTTTAAATTTTCATGGTTCAGTAAGTATAACACTCTTTACAAATGAATGAAGGGTCTAGTCTTTATCAAAAGAGTTTATGATGGGGTTGTGGGAGATAAACTTTGGCACCAGAATGGGGGCAGGAATGTCTACAGAAGGTGAAGCTATGGAAAAATCTGAAAGTAGATAAGCATCCTAGGACAAATGAAACTCCAATCTGGCAGAAAGGCCACAAGACAGATATCTGATATGAAGATACCCAAGACATTTTAGAGTGGTGGTAAGAAAGTGGAACCTGGAAGACATTCCTGGGACAAAACTCTGGGTTTTTTTTTTTTTTTGACTCAATCTAGAGTTGTAAGAAAAATAATGAATATGTACAGGCATTTTGGACAGGAACTAGGTCAGTGAAGCTCGTGTTATTGGTTTAAAAATGTTCAAATAGGTTTCTGTTGACTTATGTTCAGATGTTGCCAGAGATGATCATTAGTTAAGTAGCCTTGATAAAGGATGATATTTACTCACATTGTACTTCATTGTTTAAGTTTCACATATTTTTAGTTGTTTGAAGAGTCTCCATACTTTTTTTCATTATGGTTGGACAAATTTACATTCTTACCAACAGTGCACATGGATTCCAGTTTTTAGACATTCTCACTAATATTTACTCTTTTTTTGATCATGGCCATCCTAACAGGTATGAGTTGATATTGATCGTGGTTTTGATTTGCATTTCCCTGATGATTAGTGATGTTGAGCAACTTTTCACACGCCTGTTGGCTATTTTTATGTCTTCTTTCAAAAAATATCTATTCATGTCCTTTAACCATTTAAAAATTCAATTATTTACTTTTTGCTACTGAATTAATTGTATGAATTTCTTATATATTTTTGATTTTAACCCTTTATTATTATACACAGTTTGCAAATATTTGCTTCCATTTTTTGATTGCATTTTCTTTTTTTGGTTGCTTCTTTTGATGTGCAGATGATTTTTTAGTTTGATAAGCAAGTAGTCTCACTTGTTTATTGTTACATTTGTTGCTTGGGCTTTTAGTGTAATTTTCAAGAATCATTACAGACAAATGCCAATAAGCTTTTTCTCTATGTTTTCTTCTAGCAGTTTTACAGTTTCAGGTTTTACATTTAAGTCTTTATTTTGTGTTTATTTTTGTATATGGGTATAAGATATGGGTCAAATGTCATTCATTTACATGTGAATGTACAGTTTACCCATCACTATTTATTGAAGAAACTGTCATTTTCCCATTGAGTTGTCTTGGCACCCTGGTCAAATATTAATTGACTGTATATGCAAGGGTTTATTTCTGGGCTCTCAATTCTGTTCCACTGTTCTAGGTGTCTGTTTTTATGCCAGTGCCACACTGTTTTGGTTACTATATCTTTGAAGTGTGCTTTGAAAACAGGACATGTGATGCCTCCAGCTTATTCAAGGTCTTTGGTGGTTCCATATATATTTTAGGATTTTGTGTTCTAATTCTATAAAAAATGTTCTGAAATTCTTATATGAATTTCATTGGATCTTTGATGGTTTGGGGTCATATGGGCAATTTAAAAATATTAATTCTGACCCATAAACATAGATATCTTTCCATTTATTGTGACTTAAAATTTCTTTTGTTAATGTCTAATAGTTTTCAGTGTAGAGATCTTTTATCTCATCAGTTGAATTTCTTTCTAGGTATTTAATTCTTTTTAATGCTATCATAAATGGGATTGTTTTCTTGATTTCCTTTTCATATAATTTGCTGTAAAAATGCAAATAATTTTTGTATTTTGATAATGTATTCTATGTTTTTACTGAGTTCATTTATTAGTTTCAACAGTATTTTTGTGGAGTTTTAAGGGTTTTCTACATATATAATCATATCACCTGCAGACTTTCCAATTTGGGTGCCCATTACTACATTTTCTTGTCTCTTTTGCTACTGTTTCTAATAACATGTTGAATAGAAGGAGAGAGTGGGAATCCTTACTTTGTACTGGATCTTAGAGGAAAAGCTGTCAGTTTTCTCTCATTGATTATCATGCTAGCCATGGGTTATTCATGAGTGGCTTTTATTATGTTAAGGAAACTTCCTTCTAAATCTATTTTGTTGAGAGTTTTTAATCATGAAATGTTTTTGAACTTCATCATATGCATTTTTCCTGGATCTATTGACATAATCATGGGGTTTTGGTTTTCATTCTGTGAGTGTGGTGTATCACATTAATTGATTTGCATATTTTAAATCAATCTTGCATCCCATAATCCCACTTGGTCATGGTGTATAATCTTTCAGATGTACTGAATTCAGTTTGCTTGTGTTTCATTTTCTTAAGCTCTATGAAGGCAGAATCCAGGTCTCTCTATTCACCACTGAAGCCCCAGCAACTGTCAACATGCTTGATACTTTCCTTTTGCTCAAAAATATTTGCTATTAATTAATTAAAGACAAAGGGAAAAAATAAATATATTTATCCTAACATTGTTTATGTGTAGAAAGAGCCACATATTTTTATTTAAAAATTTTTTTATTTTTAAAAATTTTTCTTGAAGTGTAGTTGATTTACAATGTTGTCTTAGTTTCTGATGTACAGCATAGTGATTCATATATATATTTTCATATTCTTTTTCATTATGGGTTATTACAAGATATTGAGTATAATTCCCTGTACAATACAGTAAGACCTTATTGTTTATCTATTTTATATATAGTAGTTTGTATCTAAATCACTACTAAAATAGTTACATACTATAACAAGGACAATCAATTGTGATATATGAAAATAAGCACAGTTATTAATGAAAAATCATTAGATTTTTAGTGATAATGAACTAATATATACACTGCCCAGCAAAGGTCCTAGCTCAGTTAATGGTAACTAGTATAGTTTTCTGATCTTTTTATTGTCATTGCTGGGAAGTTCATAGCAGTTCAGAGCCTGATCTGGGAAATCAGTCTCTTCTGGTTATTGGCTTTCCAATACATCTGTTTTGATACCTTCTCCTTTATGTCAGTTTTCCCATCTGAAAAATGGCAGTGAAAACAGTGCTTATCTCCTTGGATTACTATAGAGATTACTGCCCAATAACAATAAACTCCATTATTTTCTTTAATTTGTGATTAGAAGGGTAGCATGTAAATCCATATATGTGGT